TGCAGGCTCCCACCCTGGGGGTTTTTAAGAGGAGGTTGGATGACCACCTTATTGGGGTCATTTGACCCCAGTGCTCTTCCTGCCATGGCAGGGGGTCGGACTAGAAGATCTGCTCAGGTCCCTTCCGACCCTAGAAACTATGAAACTATGAAATAAGCACAGCCGTTAAGTGCTTACAGCATAAAAGACACTAGATACTAGGTTTGGCTTGCGGCTACGTTCCCTGCTTATGAACCTATTTCTAAGTAACGTCTGATCTATTCCCACTTTTTGATACAAGACTAATAGCAATTTTATCTGTTTCCAAAAGGGGAACATTTCAAATGAGTAACCCAACACCATAACTCGTGCCTTTATTAAAGATGGTGCACGGTGTAGAAATGCATGACAGAACAACTTCTTCAGGCTTTAAAGGAGCCATTGATTTCGGAGGCATACAAAACACCTACGGTACAATTTACATATAGGCTGACATTCTACAATCCCCACTGAATTCAGCTGAAGATAGGGAAATCAGCACTTCTGAAAAAACAGGCCCAAGGTTCCTTAATTCAGCACCACAAAGAGAAAGACATCACTTTAAAAACTTGGCTCTTAAATATTTAACACACAAAATGTCACATCTAATCAAGACTACTGTTTCGAGTCTAATACTCTGCTTCTGATAGTAGCCAAAAAAAACCCCAGATCTCTTACTTGTCAAACTATTTTTGCAATAGCACTTAGATACTATGTCAAAACACTTGGCATTGATCCATCCCTCTCCATACATGCTAATGATTGGCAACATTAGTCTAAGCCTACTTACTGAACTCCTTGTATCACAAAAGCAGACTGTCATGAATTGCCAAACTGAATGTCTTGCTTTCAGATACAATTCACAATTCTCAAACATGGAATTTATGAAAGGAGTTCCCAGGAATACTGCTTCTATAATACGATTAGAGTGAGTCCTGATACTCTGAGCAACTCTTATACATCCTTTTCAGTGGATGCACTCTCAGAGCAGTGGCTTTCCTTTGCCAAATGATGACCACCCTCCCCCCCATTGCCATTAAAATATTACTGAGAGCACTTGAGTCTCTTCTGACTTCTTCTTTATACCACATTCATTACCTTTCCTTCAAGAGGTTGAGATGCTTTTGAATATCTTCTTTTTCTGTTAGTTCCTGACTCAGAATAGATCTGGAAGAAGGTAAAACAGTTACTATGTATTACAGAATCTATGAAAGAATTTCCTGGAATAAATATCCCACTCACTCCTGTCTGGCATGGTGGACTAGCTGAGTATTTCCATGAAATTAAACTGCTGACCTGCAAGTACAGTGTGTTTCACTGCTAGTTTACTTGGGTATGTATTTATTATTCCATTGACCTCTTCTGATATCTGTATCTGCAGGCCTCTTTTCACCCCATGTTGAGCACTTCTGAAGGCAACATTTATGTACTGAAAATAATTTTGCAAGACACTTTCTAAATGAAGTATTTCAGGTAGAAAGGATGTTATACGATCCTGTTTAAAATATTCATCAGCTAGTGGCACAGTTCAAAACAGTTTCAGAATTTCTTTTTAGCTAGTATGACATAAAAGATTTTATTTTACTGTGTGGAGAAACAGAAAAAAAATATTCCTGGTCTTATAGTATCGAAACCCTGGCTGAGGAATAAGATTCAGTGGGGCTGAAGTGTTCAGCACTTACAGTATTACTGAGTCCATCATCGTGTTCAAGATCTCCCTGCTGCTTTCTGAAAGAGGCTGCCATTCTGCTGTTTTGCTAGCAGCCATTTTCACCCTTTTTGTTCTCCCAGATCCCATTTCTGCTGGTAACAAGACGACAGGGTAAGAAGATGCAATTTGTCAGGCTTGGATAGAAAGTTGTATAGTATATCATTCAGCTGAATTCCAGTGACTAGGCTATCAACTCATGAGTAGATTTTCTGCCCAAAAAACACAATCCTTAACCCGCCCACATTAGCAAAAGTATTTATTATTTATAAATTCCCAGCTATAAACTGTGCAAAAGATGGCACAGTCCTTGCCCTAAGCAGCCTCCATTCTGAAGTGATTAATTATATTAATGAAAGGATTAAAGAGTAAGCAAAAAAGAGAAGCCACGCCGGCTACTGCTCCCTAACATACCCCCTTCCCAGCTCCATGAAACATTTCAGCTATGGATACTCACTACATGGGAGACCTAAGGTAGATTTCCATCCTAGGTCTCTAACCTACTGGCTGTAGCAAGAGTTGGAAGTACTTCAGGGAAAGCACTATTATTCCAGAACAAGCAGTGAGTGTTTTCTGTCCCCTGGCTAAGACTTCACCAGCTGTTCCTTAACCAAAGTTTTAAAGGAAGGCCTTTCCTTTAAATTAAAGAATTAATTCTTTTTTTTTTTTTTTTTTTTTTTTTT